TAACCATGTCAGTTACAATCTTTTCGGTTAAAAAACTATAAAAATACAACACTAATAGCCCAGGTTCATTTCCAATTACATAGATAGTTTGGATAGTTATTTAGAACCTTTAGTGACAAAAATAACTGTACTTATGATTTACAGAAAACGTCCAATAGTAACAAGGGCTTTAATGAGTCATAGCAAATTGAAGGCCATATATGACAATAATGTTCGACACAATTCTCCTTCAAATATAGACACGTAACCCAAACAGTAATTAAAGATGCCAATGACATTGAATAAAGCACTTGATGCATAACCGTCAACAAAACAAAGGCTAGAATTAGCAGACTTCAGAACAGAAATAACAGATGCACAGAAAATGGACAAACAAACAGAACACACTGACAAACGACGTGTGAATACTGCAAGCAAAATAATAACTAAAGAACACCCCTTCCCCCAGTCAAAGAAAAGAATAATCCAACAAAAATGTAACAAATAACAATATCATAATGCAGTGAGGAAAACTTGTATAAGGGCAGCTCTGTGAAAAAGCAATAACATATATATACCTTGATCATTTCTGGCAGTGAATATGACCATTCCAGTCTCATCACCAACCAAACATTCAGCAATTCGCATTTGGCGGGATTGAGGACCATCGGGTCGTCCTTTCTGCATCACCATCTTAGCATTGACCACCTTCACAGTTAAAGTGTGCCCACTGGTCCCTGGGCGAAGCTGATCAACCTTGGTGAACACCGGCTTCCTCAATCCTGGTTTTGAATCAGCCATGTTTCAGATCCTACAAAAAACCACAAGAACATCTATTAAGACAACATAAAAACTGCAGCAGTGCACACTATGCCTATCTTGTAAGATCTATTTATAGGTCAAAATCAAAGGAACGATGAACGATTTCCTAGTACACAGGTTTTGAATAATGAAATGCAAACTTGTTCAACTTTTTAATCCAAAATTTTCAGACAAGAGAAAAACCTAGCTCAGCCAATGTGAACTAAAATACAAGCAAGCTAACTCAATCAACACCGCGGTGTCTGTTACCAACCTAACCCCTGCTAAAAGAAACAATAAAGTTTTTAAATTCTCAATACCCTAAGGTCAAATATAGATGATGATAATAATAATAATAATAATAATAACAATAATAACAATATTCTGTTAATAACAAGGATAAAGCACAAGATCCAAACTCATACCAATTTTCCAATTCCACCAAACATACAGAATAATTTTTTTAAAAAAATGATAATCATAGAAGAACAAAAAAAAAATGAGAAACCTAAAAGTGAAAGGTGAAGTTTTTTTACAATAAAATAGAGGCGAAAGAGAGACGAAAATACATAGAGAAGCGAAAGGAAGAAGGAGATTGGAATGCAACCTGGGAATTGGTGCGAGTGAAGAGAGATCCGAAACTGAAAGTGAAAGTGAAAGTGAGAGGCTAAGTGGAGATGGGGTTTTAACCTTTAAAGACAGAAACTCAAGTTTATCATTTTATCATTTATCAATTATGTTCAGGGCTTTCTGTATTATCTAATCCCCTAAATTATATTTTTTTTTCTTTCTTTTATTTTTAGCTTTATTATTTTAAAATATTTAATTTTATCTTTTAATTTTTTAAAAATATTTAATACTGTCTTTTGTCTAAATTAATACAAACAGTATTTATGAAAAAAAGAATAGAGAGAAAAAATAATTCTTTTAAAATTAGATAATTAAGTTGAAATATCTTAGTAAAATTAAATTAAATATTTTAAAAATACAGATTAAATTAAATAAAAATTTCTCTAATTATTTTATTTTGTGAATTTTTTAATTTTAAAATGCTCAATTTATTATTTTTCATAATTTTGCTAACATAATCTTGTTACTCTTGATGTAGTTCTTAAGAAAATCAATAATGTAACTCATAGTCTAGTTGGGTGAGAAGTTGTAAATACTACTGGTGAACTGATTTGGAATAATCTCCAAATTTTACTCTTTAGTATAGTAGAATTAGATATATATTTTTTGAGTAGCTTTGTCTTTCTTTTGTTGTTATTTTGTAATATACCAAAAATAAATATTCATGAACCATCCAATTCAATTAATTTAATCTAAAACTATAAAAGTTATTCCCTTGACTTAAAAAAATGACTCATTATAATATGTAAAAGTTTACCAACCAATCTAAAATCAATTAAAAATTATAATTTAAATAAAAATCATTTTTATTTATTGTTTTAATTTATATAAATAATTAAAAATAAGTAAGACACATATTTAATATTATTTTATTAATTATAATTCAATTTAATTTTACTATTTTTAAAATGTTCAATTTTATTATCTAATTTTTAAGAAATGTTCAATTTTTTTTTAATTTCATTAACTTTGATAATATTAGTTTCAACAAAATGATAACATTATAATAAATAAATTTTTTAAATATATAATTATATTTTAGATTTATAATAAAAATTGCAATGCAAGATTATTTAAAATTTTTAATATTTTTAAAAAATAAAATTTAACATAAGACTTAAAAATTAAAAAAAAAAATAGACGAACAATTAAAAAATGTTTAAAATTACCCACACGATAAATACTCAAATTATATGGAGAAGGTTATTGTTAATGTTTATTTTAAAATAACATTAAATTTAATTTAAAAATAATATGTACATGTGTGCACATAAATGTATGTGAAAAATATATTATTGAAGATAAAATGATATAAATAAAAATATTTTAAAAATTTAAAGTTGAAGAAAAGTAGTAGAATATACTGACAAATGATTTCTAAAATACTATGTATAATTTCTTTTGAAAGTATTAAATTTTAATTTACAAATAAAAATGTAAATAATAATAAATTTAAAAAGATAATCAATTAAAATAACCATTTGAAAATATACTTCTTAGTTCCACTCGCATTACTTAAGAAATCATTGAAATTTTGCTGGAATGAGAGAAAACTAAACAAAAATATGAGTGTACTTTTTTCTCAAGTGACAGATCCAAACAAAATGATTCCCCTACTTCAATTGGTATTAAAGTGTAATATTGATATTATCTCCTTCTATAACCAAAACAACTTTGATGTTGACACGTGCTTGAGAGATGTTAGTGGTCAGTTTATGAAAACTTTGGTGGATCGCAAAACATACTTGTCTAATGTATACAAAAGTGAACCTAATGATTCCTTATTGCCATTAATTGGATCATTAGAGGAGAATATCCATTTTTTCTTCAAACTTAATTGCAAGCAGAAGATTCATAAACCCTAAAATGTCACTATAGGGATAATTGACGGTTATATCTTAGCAACACATTATATGTATCTCAATCATATCTTCATGTAATTAAAAAAAATATGTTTAACTCTTGCAATATTTTTTGTAAATATTTAGAATATCTGTTACAAAATTAGTTTTGAATAAAATTAGTTCTGGATCTTTAAGTAGAATATGATAGACATAATCATTTTTATCAACATGAATAACACACAGTTTTGTTTCATATTAATTCTTTAGCCATAAAAGTTTTGCTAGTAGAAATGTGATTGTACCCTTCTCCCAAGTGATGATCCTAACAAAATAGTCCCTTCCTCCCATTGGTGTCTTATGCAATATTGAAGTTGTCTTCTTCTCTATCCAAAACAACTTTAGTGTCAGTATATGCTTGAGAAATGCAAGTAGGCAGCTTGTGAAAGTAATGTACCACAAAACATGTTTGTCTAGTGTATGCAGAGGTAAAGTTATTGGTTTCCTCCCTGTCATTAATTGGATCATTAGGGAAGAATATTCATCAATTTTCTTTCATCTATTTTCTTCAAACTTGATTGCAAGCAACGTTGAATGAGTATAAGATTCACAAACCCTTCCCAAATCTCTTAGAATATAAGATTATTATATCTTATTGCAAGAGATTCCTTAGACTATTGTCACATTGTCAATTTGATTATTGTTAAGGGACAACAAATAAATAATCAATAATTCATAACTTAGTTAGAGTTTGTAAAAATCTACCTTCCTTCACTCTTTATTCAACATGTAATACTTTGTATTGTTTAATATATTTTTTCTTGAAATAATAAGTTTGTTGTTATAAGATTTTTTTAAATAGTATTAAAAATAGTATTTTTTAATATCAAATGTATATTTTGTAAAATATATTATTAGATATAATTTTAGTTCTATAAAATAAGTGAATTTTGATCTTTGTATGTATAAAAAATTTCTTTCATTTTCATCTCTCTAAAATTTATATTTATTATTTTTGTTTATTTATGAAATAAATAAATTTTAATTTTAATTCTTATAAAATATTTTCTTATCGGTAACAACTCACATAATCACTTAACCTTTTAACCTTAAAAAACATCACATAAAAATTAAAAACTAAAAATAATAATTTTAATTTAAAAAATATTTAAAAATTAGAAAGATTAAATCAAAATTTATTAATTTTATAAGAATTAAAAATATATTATATTTATGCTATCATTTTACAAGAACTGGTCTATATTTATTTATATAAATAAACTAGTATTTGATATGCAAATATGTTCATTATATATAATTAAACTTTATAAAAATCATTTTATTTCTTTGTAATTTTACTGGCATGTTATTTGGATTAAGTTTATGAATGTGAACTTTTTACCTTTACGTGGTTGGAAATTTGATTTTTATTGATGAAAAATTCTATTTTTTTATAATTACTGTATATGTATGTTGGGGTAGAGGGTGTCACATCGGTCGCTAAATATTAGTTAAAATTAGCGACGAAATTGAATTCGATCGTTAAATAAAAGTTAAAAAAATTATAAACTCTTTTATTAATTTTTAAAAAAATATTTTTATGAAAAATAAAAATTCATATTTAATATATAAGAGTTAATTTTATTAAAAAAAAATTCACCTAAAATCTGATCAGCTATTTTTAATTAATTTTTTTTTCTTAACTCATTTTTCACAAATAAATATTAAAAATAAAACTATAATTTATTTATTGTCCACAAGGCGTTGAATCGAGACTAAAACCCGTGAACAGTAGTGATTAAAATCCGACCTGCTTCTGTCTCAATTTCACTTTCAATTTCGGATCCCTTTCTTCCTCAAACCAATTTCCAGGTCGCATTCCAATCTCCTTTTCGCTTTTCTCTCTATTCTCTTCCACCCTTTTTTCAAGGTGTTTTTTTTTTTTTTAATTCCATATTCGTATCGGCTTTTTCATGTGAATAAAGTTCATTTTTTTTACTTTTGAGTTTCTTTATTTTTTGTAGGTTTTTTTTTTTTTTTTTTTTGAATTCTCTTCAGTATGTTTGATGGAATTGGGAAATTGGTATGAGTTTGGATCTTATTGTTTATCCTTGTAATTTGTAACTAACAAGACATTGTTATCACTATTTGACCTTGGGATATGGAAAAGTTCAAAACTTTGTTATCCCTTTAAGCTGGGGTTTGGTTGATTACAGGCTCTGCTGAATTTTTGCTTACTTCTATTTTAGTTCACATTATCTAATTAGGTTTTTCCTTTGTCTGAAAAAGATGAACAAGCTAGCATTTCATATTCAAAATCTTTGTACAAGGAAACAGTGAAAACATTTGATTTTGAGATACATATTGAGATCTTACAAGATAGGCATAGTGTGCACTGGTGCAATTTTTATGTTTTCTCAGTGGAAATTCTTGTGGATTTTGTAGGATTTGAAAAATGGCAGATTCAAAACCAGGATTGAGGAAGCCAGTGTTCACCAAGGTTGATCAGCTTCGCCCGGGAACCAGTGGACACACTTTAACTGTGAAGGTGGTCAATGCTAAGATGGTGATGCAGAAGGGTCGTCCCGATGGTCCTCAATCTCGCCAAATGCGAATTGCTGAATGTTTGGTTGGTGATGAGACTGGAATGATCATATTCACTGCCAGAAATGATCAAGGTATGTATGTTATTGATTTTGCAAACCTGCCCTTATACAAGTTTTCCTTACTGTATTATGGTATTGTTATTGTCATCATTTTGTTATTTGTTAAATTTTTGTTGGTTGTCTTTTCTTTGGCTGGGGGAAGGGGCGTTCTTTGGTTATTTTGCATGGAGTATTCACATGTCATGTGTCAAGTGTTCTGTCCATTCTGTGGGGACTGGGTATCTGTTGTTTCTGTTCTGACGCCTGTTACTTCTGGTCTTTCTTCTGTCCATGGTACTGCATCAAGTGTTTTATTTTGCCAATTTCATCTTTTTCATGGACATCTGTAATTACTGTTTGGGGTAAATGTTGTGAACCATAACTACTTTCCATGATGAATTGTGTTGAACATTGGTAATTTTTTTTTTTCAAATACTATAAAATTACATGCCTATTCAATTAATGAAAATGCTTGCAGAAATAACTTTAACCTAAATACAACATTAATGTGCTATCAATCATTGATACCGTTATTACTATATGAAGTTTTACATTAATCATAGCTTCATAGTTGGTTTTATCACTAAATGATCAAAATAACTTATCTTATATGAGGTGAACGTGTGCAATTGATGTTGTATTTTTCTGGTTTTCTGTCCTAACAGATCCTAATTAATGTGTCCATTAGCATTTTCTAGCACTAATGTCATGAACTGTATAAACTTTTTTTGTCAAGTTTCTATAGAAAATAAAGTCGGTAATGTCTTTTCCTATTTGTGTTTATCATATCTGAACCAGTTTGTGGTCACCGGATTAAAAATGCTTAAAGTTCCTGTCTGGAAGCATTTGATAACTTTAAAAGATCTCTATGTAACGTACACGGGTTTTGATCAAAGAAGTGCAAAATTCTGGTAAAACTACGCATTTTCCTGTTTAGTTTGTGTGTATGATTCAGGGCTGCTGCAACACAATGGAAAACACCCAAAGAAAAATTCAAATTCGGAACAGTCTAAATCTTGTGATTCAAGTGTGAGAATCACATCACATCAGTTCATTAATTTAATCTAGGTGATTCAGGGCCTTCTATGATTGATGTTTTCGGTTCAGTTAAGAGTCTCGATTTTTTTATCCTATTATTTGTATATGGAGAATTGGTAAGCAATTAGGTATTGTAATTATAAATAAGATGAATATCATAAAATGTCCTTTGTAATAGTTAATATTCCTCATGCCAAATAATCTAGAATGTTGATCAAGAGGATGTTTGCTGCTACTTTGTGTGAATAAACCAGTCTTTAGTTTGTTGAATCCAACTAACTATAGATCAGGCTGCTACTTTATGTACTTGGGTGACATATTGCTGTCTTTTTGGCTGAATTGATGTAAATATTAGCATAAAAATAAATTGTTTATATATACTATAGATTATCAATATTATCATATAAATAAAATATAATTATAATGGAAAAAATTATACACAATTTTTGAAATATAAAATAGTATGTAGATAATAGAAAATGTATAATATTTTTTTTGTAATATTGTGATAAAAAGAACACGGGTTTCAAGTCTAGTACTTAGCAAGTGTTATTCAACATAAAAGTTTAAATGAAATTCCATGTTTGAATTTGTTGAACAATTTTGAAAATATTTTTTGTGCAGAATTTTAAAATTAAATTGTATGTGAACAAATACTTCAAATATGATTTAAAATGTTGGTTTGCTTATGATGAGATGTTTTATGTCATCGTTGTGTCATGTTGCCCGTGAATGAGTTTTGTTACTTTGCCTGGCACAGCATCTTATGTTACGAGGTATTGCTGAAAGCACTGATATATTTTGAACACTTTTATGTGGTTCCAATTTTTCTTGTGTTCAGTGGATTTGATGAAAGAGGGTGCTACTGTGATCCTGCGTAATGCCAAAATTGACATGTTCAAAGGATCAATGAGGCTTGCTGTGGACAAGTGGGGCCGTGTGGAAGTGACAGAACCTGCTAGTTTCACTGTGAAGGAAGATAATAACTTGTCTCTCATCGAGTACGAACTCGTGAATGTTGTTGTGGAATGACTTATTGGGACATCCTGGAATTTCTAATGAGAATAAAAGCAAATTCAGCAAAGAAATCTACCTTTATTTTTGCTTATTGGACATCTCATCATGCTCATCACAGGTCACCTTAGTTTAGGAATAGAGATTTGAGAAGCCAATGGTACCAACAGGTTCTTCTTAGTTCTTACAGTTGCAATAGACTCTGGATCTTGCAGCTTCAACCACTGAATAGATGGTGGCTGTAAGTGCAAGAAGAAAATGGATATTGGCTTCCAGATCACGCTTTTTGTTATGCTATCTATCAATACTTCGGATTATGTGCATCAGAATATTATATATGGCAGGTGAGTGTTTATATTTGAATTGGATGAAATCACTTGTTTAGTCTGAATCTTTATCGCGATCTACGTCCTGCTTGCCTCTCAATCCTTGTGCTAAGAAGTATGTCACGGAAGATATGTGTGAAAATCAAAACCTAGATTGATTTCAACATCAATTAACTCAGAAAATTTTAAACTGCTGTTGCAAATGGTAAGGAAATAGTTCATAATAACGAAGAATCTTAGTTACTATGTTTAGGCTTGAATATGCTCTCATGTGAAAGTACCGAATTTTGGTTGTAAAATTATATTTCATTTTCAGTCTTTAAAAATCTGTTTTTAGTTTAGTAATAAAAGATTAAAATTACATTTTTTTTTAAATGTAACTTCTAGAAATAAATAAAGTTTGTATAAGGTAATTTTAGAATATCTTGCATCATCTGGTGCACATGTGAACAAGTATTAGACATCTAGTAATACTCAAATAGTTCACTATGGGTACCGTTTAATTGATGTGTTTATTTCTTTGTTACAATTGAGATCGGCTTCAATATTCCTACGTTGCCATTTTGAAACGGGTTATCATGCTCAAAGACTTGATTTTACAATTTCATTTGAAATTCGCAGGGTTCAGTTGATAAAAAATAATAACTACTAACTAGCATATAATGGTTATATTCTGGTTTGAATGAAGAATGGACTTTCGTAGTTGCATTGCATCAAACGTGAACGTAGGTTTAGTCAATGAATGTCCAATGTTACTTTTACCTTTTCTGTATGCGAAAGTGAGCCACCACAGGCACAAAGGACTTTTCGTATTGCCTCAAATCACCTCAATATGTTTTTTTCAATTGTCCTCCATTAACTTCGGACTCCCTCATTCACGGCATAATAAATAAATAATGAAATTGACTTTTTAATGTAAATAAAATAAAATAAAATAGTAAACATTAATAATTAATAATAAAAAATTAACCGATAATATTTTAATGTACATTCATAATTTATTATACATGTAATTTAATTTTATATTAATACTTTGATACTATTTGTTTTATCTTCTAAAATGAATTGGCAGTCAAGTTCAGAACAGAAAATAAAAATAGGAAGGCATAACTAAGCTAAGTTGTGAGCATCAATTCATTGATATAAATAAAATCACAGTATACATAAAGAAATGAGAATGGTACTCTTAAAAGTATAGACAAGAGGAATATGTCAGTCTTTTGTGTAATTTGTACCATAGACAAAAAGTAGTCCCATAATTCTGAGTAACAAAATGTAAAACTATTGTTCTATCCATGTTTATTTAAAATGTGGTGTGGTGTCCACGATCCTTTTTAAATAAAGCATGAAACAAAGATAATTATACTATCCAATGCCGTAAAAATATTGAAATTCAAAGTGTACATCATGTACGATGGTGGCGGAGATATCTTAAACGGATAAAGTGGGGAAAAGCTTGAAGTTCAAATCCCACAGCTCAAAAGTGCCTTTAACGAAATCGTAATGTGCTCCTTTGAGAGCGAGAGTTTTCTTCACAACCCCCTCTCTAACAAATGGATATGTTAATAGGTTTCCAAGTGATACATTCACAGCTTCCTGCATTTGAGTAAGGAACCAAAATCTTAATTACAACTAAAGGGTATTACAATTTGTAAAATGTAGCACAAAAATATATATGATACCTTCTCACAGTTAGTACACTGCTCTGTGAAACTTAAGTCACCTGTTTCTGCTTTAACCTTGGACTTTGCTGGGGTACATATTTGGACCCATTGCTCTATGAATTCACTGTGTAATAAATGATTATGCTCGTTACTTTTCTCTTGTCACCATGGCTAAGTACCAAGAACAGTTAAATTCATGAAAATCACTGTGTAATAGTAGTATAACATATTCGTCAGGGGAATCTCGTATCCAATGACTAGTTAGAGACAAGTCGTACTTAAAAATTATTGAAAAAGGGAATGATTCGTATAATAATCTTCTTCTCCTTAGCCATGAATGGTACATTGTGATTTGACATGGAAAGGCAAGGGAGCAGTAAAATAATAAATCTTTCACTATATTAATATGGTGGACAAAAAGGCTATATAATTCGTTCTTGGTATATGCCCAAAGCAACATTTCTAAAAGGTGGATTTTCTGGATTTGTACTGGCATCTACTAACTACTAATGATTTATTTGAAAGATAAAAGATTTTCAAAAGAAAAATGTGAATTCAATAAAAAGAAAAAGAGAGTAGAAAATAAGTAAAATTTTAAATAGTAAGAGAGGTGATTATACGATAATCACCTCTCAAACTATTTTTCTCTTTCTACATTTTTTCAAAAAATTATCATTATAAATTATATTTAATAAAAAAATTATTATTAACCGTTCACTTTTATTTTTTTAAAAATACACCAAAGTACATAGTAAATTTTTTTTAAAGTAGTTATTATAAATACGTTTATTAATTATTCTTAAGATATTTACATAATTTAAAATAGAAGCGCAACTATACTAATTCTTTTTCGCTCCTCTCACCCAAATCTCTTCTATTGCATTTAGAGGACGTAAGAGTTAAAAAAAAAAAAAAAAAAAAAAAAAAAAAAAAAAAAAAAAAAAAAAAAAAAAAAAAAAAAAAAAAAAAAAAAAAAAAAAAAAAAAAAAAAAAAAAAAAAAAAAAAAAAAAAAAAAAAAAAAAAAAAAAAAAAAAAAAAAAAAAAAAAAAAAAAAAAAAAAAAAAAAAAAAAAAAAAAAAAAAAAAAAAAAAAAAAAAAAAAAAAAAAAAAAAAAAAAAAAAAAAAAAAAAAAAAAAAAAAAAAAAAAAAAAAAAAAAAAAAAAAAAAAAAAAAAAAAAAAAAAAAAAAAAAAAAAAAAAAAAAAAAAAAAAAAAAAAAAAAAAAAAAAAAAAAAAAAAAAAAAAAAAAAAAAAAAAAAAAAAAAAAAAAAAAAAAAAAAAAAAAAAAAAAAAAAAAAAAAAAAAAAAAAAAAAAAAAAAAAAAAAAAAAAAAAAAAAAAAAAAAAAAAAAAAAAAAAAAAAAAAAAAAAAAAAAAAAAAAAAAAAAAAAAAAAAAAAAAAAAAAAAAAAAAAAAAAAAAAAAAAAAAAAAAAAAAAAAAAAAAAAAAAAAAAAAAAAAAAAAAAAAAAAAAAAAAAAAAAAGTGAAGACTTACGAAGTGCAATTAAATGAGATGTTCCATGACAGCATATACTGGATTATGGTCAGTTTTTTTTCAATGCTTTGTTTGGGAGAGGGAGAGAAATTAAAGGAAATAAGAGTAAATAGATAAGAGTATTTGATAAGAAATAGAATGAAATTTATAGAGGTTCAAAATAGTAGATTTAGATAAGAAATAGAGAGAAATTAGTAATTTGAAATTATATTTTTATTATATCTAATTATTATTTAGTAGAATGAGAAAAAAAAGTAATGTATAAAATTTTATCTTTTTTTCAAATTCTTAGTAAATTCTCTCTTTTTAAAGCATTTTTTTTTCCTCCATGGAACTTATTTCTATTTATTCTCAAATTCTCACAAATCATTCTCCTTAAATAATTTAACTTTTTTCAATTCTCTATCAATCATCCCTCTTCTCTTCTAATCTACTTTAAATCATATACCCAAACACATTTTAAGTCTTTAAATAGCATAATCAACTATGTCATAAATTATTAACTCCGATGCTAATTATAAGTAATATAAAAAAATTTATTAAAATTAAAGAAAATAATTAATATAATTACTTTTAGTAAATTTTATCAAAAATTTAAATTTTTTTCTAAATATACTTTTTATTTTAAGTAATTATTATATTTAAGGTTAGTTATAATGTGAATATATATAAAATAATGACAACAATAACACTTCGTTTAGAATATTAAAACATCGAGAGAGAAAAATGACATAAAGAGGTGAGAAATTGATGAGAAATAAAAATTAAAAGTTGTTTGATGCAAACGAAATTTATTAGCAAAGAAATAAAAAAGGTGAATTTCACATCTTTTTATTTCTTCACAAATATGCCTAAAAGGAATAGTACACACTTAAAATATCTTATTCAAATAAATATTTTCCACATTCAAATAATACGTTTAAATTTTATTGATATTTGAATAAACTATAACTCATATTCGAATAACATGTTACTAATACTCAATTAAAAATTTAATGAATCAAATAAATAAATATTTTATTCAATTATGTTTTCAAAAGAAAACGTAAAAAGGTTATTTAATCGAATAAATGTTCTTTATTCGAATACGGTTTCTTTAGAAAAAGTAAACTTTCACTCGAATAAATTTTTGTTTACTCAAATGAGAGTTTAGAATTTTATTTATTTATTTTAAATGTTTATTTTATTAACTTTATTAAATTGGTTATTTTAATTAATTTTTAATCTAAAAAAATTACTTTAAAATTATTTACTTATTTTTAATTAATTAATTATTTTATTTAAAATATTATTTTTTAGTTATGTAATTTTTTATTTAAATGATTAAAATAAAAAATTAATTAAAATAATTTACTGTATTATTTATTTATTTATTTTATCTTTTCTTTCTTATAAATTTTATTTCTTTCTATTTTATTAAACATATATAATATTATTTATTACATATTATTTACTTATTTATTTATTTTAATTAAATAAATATTTTAATCTATTTCTCTTTTCTCAACAAAGAAAATGAATTTTCCATCCTTGTAAGGTTGTTTACAGTGACAGTGGGGGTGAAAAGGACAAGTGCGTTAGAGAGTGACACGCGAGGAGAAGCGCGAGTGGGTGGAATCTAAGTGGGCCGGCACGTACGACAAACCCAAGATGTGTTATATATATATATATATATATATATATATATTTATCTTAAATATATTTTTAGTCCTTTAAGTTTAAGGTAAATTTATTTTTAGTCCTTCAAATTTATAATTAGTCTTTTTAATTCTTATAATTTCAAAAAACCTTATTTTAGTTTTTATATTCAAATTTTGTTATAAAAAATATTATCACAGAAAATCTACTTATTATTATCCTTATTAGTGAAAAATTATATTAAATTCATATCATTGTCTCAAATTGTCACTTTCAAATATATTATTGGTGGATTGAGGGACTAAAATAAGATATTTAAAAATTATAAAACTAAAAACATAGTTTTAAATTTGAGGAATTAAAAATAAATATATCATAAATTTGAGAGATTAAAAATATATTTAAGTCTATTTTATTTCTCATTTTTTTTATCTTACTAAACATTCATAATATTATTTACCTATTTCTCGTCAACCATACAATCAAATTTACACTTTATTTCTTATCTATTTTCACTCACCTATTTCTTTCTTTTCTATTTCTCTCCTCTTTATTTCTCACCTATTATTTTCCTATCTACCAAACACCATAAATGAAAGGTATAAAAAATATTTAAGTATAGTAACTTTGCAAATTAATGATATTTCTTATAATTAGGATGATAGGTGATGTGTTTATTTTTCTTCTTCTTAAAAGTGAGAGAAAAACCATGAATTAAAGTGTTCCATTAAAAATGCTGTATGTATTCTAAAGGAATAGCAACGTATAAGACTTGCCTTGCAGTTGTCCCATCATCTGGGATAGACATGAGTCCCTTTATACCTCCACAGCAACTGTGGCCAATGACTACAATATTCTCCACCTGCAATTTATGTTATAATTCCCATTATAATCTCCAAAGAAAAAGAAAAAGAAAACTATTCCGGTTTAGAGAAAGACGTTTCCGTTCATCTATATATGCTAACACCACATGGGCCACCACACTACATGTGTTCCATATTCATCAAGCCACAAACTAAAATAGGTCAATTTTAAATGAGATGCTAGCATTCATATTCAGAGCATGCATGTAAAGATGCAAAAATTACATTATTTTAATGATTGATTATATGTACAATTCATGATAATCAATTATAATCCAAATTAGTTTTATTTGAATAAATTTGCTTAAACGAAATTTTAAGATATTTATTATCTTTTCTGAATATAACTAAAAAAATAGTTATTACATAGTAAGTATGTAAAAGGTATGTATGAAGTTGAAAAGGAAAAAAGATGTTGAAAATTTTGGAGATAACTTTTTTTTAAGGAAAAAATATTTTTGTAAAACAAACTTCAAATTTTCAAATGTATGAAGAACTTATTTTTTCAATAAAAAAACATTTTAGCAAATTTTAGTTGATGTACCAAACACACTAACTTTCTTTTCTTCTATAAGAACAGTTGAAATGTAGAAATTTCACGTGTCCCACAATTGCTCTAGCAGAAAATGCTTATAAAAAACATGAAACAAAAAATATTTATATTCATTTATTTTTTATTCTTACTCTAATTCAAATAATTTTATATACCCTTACACAACATTTTATATTCATTAAACACCAAAAAAAAAATTATAAAACAAAGTAAGTGTTGAATATTGGCGAAACATGCAATGAATTCAATATTTATATGTAAATAAAACTTTTCTTTCGTACCAATATTTATCTACCAAGAATGTAGGATACATAAACGAGTGAGTACATAATTATATTCCTAATAAATCATAGTGGGAAGGTGAGGTGGATAGGGGACTAGATGTTGGGTTATGATTTATGAATTTGACTACCACTATTTCAATATATATCTGAATGTTTGATCATTCTTTGCTTAGCAATATGTGGACCAATTCAAAGATTCCTTATGGTGTGTTTGGATGAGGAATTTATATAGAGTAATTCATTTATTTGAAGAATTTCAAATTCCTTGAAGTGAAATTCTTTGTTTGGACGAGGAATTTACAAAGAATTTGAAATTCAAGCATTTGTTTAAATTAAATTCCTCATATTTGTTTTTCTTATTTCAGTTATATATTTTATCTTATTTTTTCATTCTTTTAATTATTTTGGATATTCAAAAATATTTTTAAAATTGTTAAACATTATCTAATATTAATTTTTAAAATTATTAAATATTTAAAAATGGATTAATATTTATTTTTATAGAATTTAATTTAAAAATCTCAACATATAAATATATTTTTAAAATCAATTTTACTATGATAGAATAAAATTATCATATTCAACCTAACAATTTAAAATTTAAAAAATTTAAATTGACTCATCCAAACAAAATATTTTAAGAATGATAGAAATTGAAATCAAAGTAATTCAAATACCAAGAATTTAAAATTTCTTGAATTTGTAAAATTTCTCATCCAAACACACTATTAAGGTCTTCAAGGACTATTTTCATAATTTAATACTATTGTTTTGATGAAATAGAACATATGCAACTTGAGATGCGTGTGGATCCCAACAAACAATGATGCAACATAACAAATAGCCTACCACACCAAACTTTCTTCCTTTTCCACATGACCCACCATTATTATTAGAGCACTATAAGATAATTATGTCATAAAGAAAAGAGAGGAACACAGCATGAGAAACAATCACCTTTAAATGCAACACTGCATATTCAATGGCTGCCCCTGTTCCTGAATACTTCGTCTACAATAACACAAAGCAGGTCAAACTTTTGTATTAATTTCAAGAATAAATTCTTTAAATTAGTCCTTGAATGTTATTGAAGATAAGTTTGGACGACCAATTTGACAGGTTATGTTTATGATATACAATATCTTGTATTTTCAATTCCCACGTTTAATTGTGCTACATAGTCCAACATTGTGGGAACAGAATTAAACCTTTTCATATGGTGGAACCATGTTGGCGATGTTTCGGACCATGAAGGCTTCACCCGGTTGGAAATCCAGAACATGGGATGGGCAAACTCTCGAGTCTGAGCATGCAAATACCATAAACTGCATGTGTGCCATAAGAATGCTATATGATTGATCAGTGGCAACATAAATTTATAAAGAATGTTAACCACTTTCTCTTTGATATTATCTTTTTAATTAAAATTTATTAAAAATTATAAATTTTGTGATAAAACTCACCAAAGTTCAACTAATGTTAGAGAGAGCATCAATAAGAAAAAAAGTGTTAAAGAAAATTTCGTCACATTTTTTCAAATTTATTAAGATAAATTTGACTTTATAATTTAATGAAAAACATTAAGGTCAATGCTTAAAGATTCAAATAATATAAAATTGTAATGAATCAAAAGTCCTAAATGGATATTGAAGTTAGGACCAATTTTATATATGCCGTGTATAACCAGTAGATATACATAGTTGACTTATAATTGTTAATACATGCTTATGTGGTACAAAAGTAGGAAAAAAGATGATTCCATTTATTAAGTGTCCATTTCAAATTTAATTTTATTTGTCTGTTTTGATCTTGTTATAGTTGAAACCAAGTTCGATTTCACCATAGTTAATGTTCCCAAAAGGTGCAGGTGCTCAAACTCAGAGCAATTAGGGATTAAGAAATGGAAATAACATGGCTGACCTTTGGGCTCTGGCCTTTGGCAAGTTCGCCATATAGATCAGGATTTTTCCTGAAAAGAATACAAATTAAGCATCCAACCAATCTCAGTGAAACAGTAATTTCGAGTTAGATTCAAAAGTAAAACTAGAATATGCATCATTGAAAACCAGCTGGCCTTAATTTTCGCTAAGACAAAGAAGGATCAAACTCGATACCAAAAATAAAGTGCCCTTTTTGCACCAAAAACAAAACATCTTTTGACATTGGCCATCTCATGGTTTCCATTTATCTGTGGTTGATCGTTGATGAAACATCTGCTTACGTTGCCACTTAATATTGTAAACATAAAGTGCCACTGTCTATCCCGCTTTCCATTTTATTTCGAGGTTATGTGACGGAAAAGGAGAAAAAAAAATAGTAGCGTTTAAATTAAGAGTGAATCACCCATTCACTGAGCGTAAAGTTTTTTTATACCAATAACTAATCATATCTTTTAAATGATTTTATTTTATTTTTATTTTATTAAATAAGTAATTGATGTGACACTATTAAAATATATAATTGGGTGCCAGTGTAAAACAACTTTACACTGACAATGTATAGGTGATTAACTCTTAAATTAATATGTCTTGTATTAATAAAAAATTAAAAATATATATTAGCTATTAATATTATAAGAAAACTATTTATTATTTTAATTCTTTATTTATTTCTTCCCATTATTTTTATTTAAAATTTTAAAAATATTTTATAAGATACTTTGAGATTTTTATTTAATAATACGTTAATAATAAAATTTAATTAGAATATACTGACAATTAAAAATGCATTAATATTTTGGATTTAATTGTTTCTCATTTTAAAGAACAAATGAAAGTAAGTAATTGCAATTATTAATTTAAAAAACTACTGTAATAATCGATATATCATGTATATATGCATATATAACAAAATATTTCTTTTTATCCATTGAAATCAAGCTTGATATTAAAAGATTTACAATAATAAACGTATGTTTGAAATAAAATATAAAATATGAATATATTGAAATATTAACAATTAAATTTCTTGCAAGATTTATCTTATTTTATTCGTCTCAAGTTTAGAGGACAAAAATCCAATTCGCTTATACCATTATCCAATTATTATTATTATAAATTGTTATGAATTTAATTAATTAAAAAATTAACATTAATATAACTTTTTAGTTACTCATCATAAAAATTGACAAACTCATATATGATAATTGAAAGATTATATAAATCTACTAGTCTGTCTTTTCTTCTTTGTTATATTAAGATATTTATTATTATGAGAGTAAGATTATGATTAATTTTGGTCGGTGTACTGAGAATAAACTGTTCATAAATCAGCAAATTCCAATTGAGAAGGTTCTTAATTCTATCGGTATATGACAAATGAATGACGTACTCAAATTTCTCAGTCTTGAAGTGGATGAACCCGGTTTTGATCCTCTCCTCCGGGTTAACCGGCTTCGAACTGGCGGCATCAAGCTCCGCCGTCAGCTCCTTGATCTTCGCGGCGGCGACGCCACCGAGGTCAGCTTTCTCACTACCCAAAAAAAAATAACGGAAACCGTTACATTACATCGCACAGAAACCGAAACGACACGCGTACGAGGTGGCGTGGGCCCCACACGAGAAGAACGAAGGATCAAACCACACCACACCTACCTCCTCCTGAAACGCTCTATCTACGTGGTCGTGAATTTATCATAGGAAATACGAAACTGAGCGAAATGCCAGAAAAGGACACTTTTAATGTTTTTTTTTAATTACCTGAGAAGCTTGCTCAGACTTGCTATGGCTTCCTCGTACGATTCTCCTGCCATCTCTTCCTTCTGTTTTGGTTCCGATGAACACAAAAAAAGAAAAAGAGTAACGGATTAATCGATTGCTTCAGTTATATACAAATTAACATCAAAACAACGCATGAACCGATTTCTTCCGCACAATATATCGGAAATCGTAATCGATTAATAATCCAATAACTATTAACTGGTCAAGGATTGATCATGACACAAATAATGAGATTAATTAATAATTAATTAATGAGTTAGACGTGAATTGTAGATTTCGTGATCTGAATCTCGTGGACGATCGAAGAAAGGAAGACATGAAATGCGTATGTACCTTTTGTGCTTTCCGTGCGGATGGTACTGCTGAGATTTGGAGGAAGATAAGGAAGTGTTTGTGTTTGTGTTTGTGTTTGTGTTTTGTGATATGATATGCTATCACTGTTGAGCTTATAAGCAAGAGGGGAATTAGGAGTTAGGACTCACGTTTGGTTCGCCACTCAACACGGGTCTAATTAATTGCCAACAACACAAAAATAATTTTATTTTTTTATTTTTTTTTTACCTAGTGTAAAATCTTAATTACCCATTTTAGAACTACTTTCAATTGTGACTATATGTCTACGTCTAAGAGAGTATTCGGATGAATCCTTAATTATGAAATATAAATGTTAAAACAACTTATCAAGTTATGATAAACATTTTATTTGATTTGAAAAAGAAATTGAAAGATAAAAAAATATGTATGAAAATAAAGTAATAAAAAATGGAGGAAGAAAAGGGAAAATGTGAAGTTCTTTTTTACTAATTTGGTAAAAAATAAAATGAGATTTTCTTAAATAAATAACTGTTTTTTTTATATAAAGAATTTGAGATTTATAATATAATATTAACTAATATTTTAGTTTGTGTAATATACAAGACAAATTAATATTTTATATGATTAAGTTTTTTAATAAATAAATATTTTTGAATATATAAATGTATTATAATTAAAGAATTTAATAAATAAATATTTTTTACCAAATAAATAAATATTATTAATCATTTAAATTATAGTTCAAATTTTTAAAAAGATAATTTATAACGTGACGTACAATTATTTTTAATTATTGATATTTTGAAATATTAAAATTTAATTTAAAAAATAAAAATGATAGATTAAATAAATAGAATAATAAAGGCTAAGGCCTGATAAGGTTACTTTCTTTAGTTTTTACTTTAGTATAAAAAGACCATTTCTCTTTTTTTTTTTTTTTTTTCACTTTAATTTCTCACGTTGACATAAAGATAGAGTGGCTATGCTGACTCCATTGAAAGTGGTCCAAAAATGGCATAAGAGGAAAGTTAGAAAAAGCCAGCTCTCCTACCCGACTGTTTTTTTTTGGCATATACGTAGAGACTTAAAATTGCATGGGTATCCTTTTCTCATTATCATTTTTTAGTTTCTCTCTGCCCCGTTACTTTCTTTTTCCTTTTATGTTCACCAGAGTATAGAATAAAAGTTGCATTTTTAAACAATATTATTGTATGAATTATTCACCCACTTGGTTAATAAAGATTCTCTGTTAATAAATATAGTCGATCTTTTTAGTGAAATGTTTTTTTAATTATTATTATTTATTTATAAAACTTGAACTTGAGATTATATATGTTTAAGAAATCGAAATTCAATTTCATTCTAAAAACAATCTGATGTTGAATAAAAAATGTATTAACAAATTATTTTAATTAATTTTGTAACACTCATATTTAATGTGTTTGTTTTAAGTGATGTGGTTTAGGAGAAGGTTGTTGTTAATTAAGTTGGCTTAGCTTTAGAAATGGTTTATATGTGTTTTCTTGAAAGAGACTCACAACTTTATTTTCATAAATCTTTGGAGAAAGATAAGAGAGTTTCTCTAGAATCTTCCTTCATTTTCTTTACTCAAACCCTTTCTTCCTCACTTCTTGTAGCTGGTCCAACTTAGTTGGTGTGGGTTAATTCGAACTCCCGGAACCAAGAGTCCCTAAGTTAAAGCGATATAGAGCTTGTTATCTGCTTCTTCTTTTTTTTTCTCGAATCATCAATAGGTAAGGGGAGTTATTAGGACTTGATCTTGGTGAATGATTTGTGAATTTTCATGTTGCATGTGTAGTATGAATGCTCATTTGATGCATAATTGTTTGAATGTCAATTTGGTTTGCAAGGAGAGACTTGGTGTTCTTAGTTTCTTGGAGATTTTTGAGGTATTTGGAGTTTTTGGGGAAAAGTCTTGATTATATACCCAAATTCTTGTTATGAATTATTTTGTTGTTGGAATTAACATATTCTTATTGTTTAGATGAGTTTTTATGGTTTAGATTTGAGTTTGGAGCTTGTATAAGAAACTTGAGATGAAATAGAGAGGTTTGAAAATCCTAAAATTATGAAAAACAGAGATGGTCTCTATCATGAAATGGTTGAGCATAATTGAATATGAGAATTAAAGGTGTCTTTGGAAGGAAACACTGAGGGATTTTGAAATAATTGAGTGAAATTGAAGATGAGAATCACCGATGTTTTTTAGAGGAATCCACTTAGTGGTTTTGAAAGGATTGAGAAGATTAGTGCCTATCAAATTAACTTTGTTGTGTTCATAAAAATTGTAGCCCTAGATGTTAACTTTCCAATAACTTCAAAATCATTTAAAAAAAAGGAGGTCTAAATGACCTTTTTAGTGAGCGAAGGTCAAACTGTCAATATTAGTAAAAAAAATGTTGCGATTTATATAATTTTTAGTATAATAGATGGTGAAATTAGAACTTGAGGTCTTCATAAGAGTTGGAAATAATCTTTTTATCTTTCATATGAGATAAGGATGAGTTTGATACAAGTAGTATAACTCTCTATGTGATATTTTATGTGAAAGTTGTTATTGTATGATAATTAATTTTGATAAGTTGTATATTGATATATGTTGTATGATGTGTGAATTTGGTAAACAATAGTAGATGTATGATTTTTATTGCATGTTGTATGAAGTATGAAGATTGTAGTTCTATGTACGTTGATTGGATATGACATATGTAGATGTTTGTATGGTGTTGGATGATGATGAACACATGTATTTTATATATATGTATGATGTTGTTATCTATATATACGTTGATCGGATGTGATGTATATAGATGTATGGTGAGGTGTAGATGATAAAAATGTGGTATGACATTAACACATCTTGGCTAACTTAGGATTTGAGAAAAGAAAATTATTTTGGAAAACTGAAGATCCCTATTGAAAAACAGCTTCTTGAGTAGGTGTGTCTCTTGAAGTAGGTTCTGAGGTGTATTCATATTTCCTCTAGGTTTTTAGTTAGTGATTGATGAAGATTATTTTAAAAAATTAATTTTCTATTTCTTTTAATAAATAAAGGTGTAATGATCTAAAAAATTATAAAAACAAAAAGTGATTATGAAAATAAGTATTTTCGTCATATATTAATTAACATATTAATATATAAGACAGTTACGTAATATATAAGTTACTCAACCACTTTTTTTGTTATAAAATAAGTTATAGAAATGCTGATTGGTTATAACTCTTTTTGTAAAGAGGTACTAATTTAAAAGTTTCAATACGGATACATAAAAGGCATCAATTGATATAAAAGATATCGACATTTATTAATTTTTATCTATTATTTTCAATTAAATAATTCATGATTTCAAAAAGAATAATTAAATAAATATATTTATCTGTGATATATATTCAATTAATTTTCTTTCTAAAAAATATTTACTTTTAGAGACGACACAGAAAAATTTACAAAGTTTAAACTTTAGGTCTATTAAATCTTCCAACCCACCTCTAAACATGGCAAGTCAAAATTTTCAATTTGTTTTAATTGAGCAGGTCAGCCAATTCAGACTTGTTTTTGGTGAGTGAAAATGAATCAAAATGACCCTTTTTTTTTTCGCCTCTAAAAACAATAGTGGTAGGAGGGATAATAATATTGGTGATGGAAGCAACAACACTAATCACAGGTATCATATTTTTATTCTTTTTAAAAGGCAAAACTGAATTAAAATTAATTGTAGCAATCTAAATAATTTATTATCACAAGTTTACCCTCTAAATGAGCTTACACTTTAACCTCACTCCAACTGTATACTTGTTTTTTCGTTATCCTTTTAATTAAATTGAAATGGAAAAGAAATGTAGACAATGTTTATTTAATCATCACTGAAAAACAAAAGAATCTCTTCCCACTTCCACGTGCTGTTTCTATTGCAAGATATAGTACTAGAGTTGAAAATTGAATTATGATTTGATAAACAAATAACGTACCGAGACAATCTTGCTCGTGCAGCACAGCATCATGCACTTTTTTAATGCTCCAGCCATGACTCTTTGTTCTTCCCCTGCCACGCACACACAATTCAATCATCTCAATTAATTACTCCGATAACTAGCCAAATTGCTATTATAATCACCCACATAGGAATAATTATTTCTTATGGGTGCCAAAAGCAGTAAAATTCTAATAGTTAATTACGTGACATGATGAAAATACATTGTTGGAAAATGGAAGCGTTGAAGGCGATTCCAAAGCTAAGATACTATATATTAAACCACATAATTGGGAAAGTTCTAAGTTCTAACCTTCAGGTTATGCAGATTTTGACAAATTAATTGGAAATGAGGTAGGAAATTAAAGAGAGAACCAAAAGGGTAGTTAGTTTGACTAGGGTAGTGAAATTGTTAGGGAAGAAAATGAGAGCAAGAATGGTAAAGTGTTAGAGTTATGTGTTTATGTTGCATTGGAGCAACAAGTGGGGATGCATGTTGAAGTTCAAATGGCTATGGCGACCCGAAAAGAGAGGAGAAAGAGAAGGAAAATGAGTTTGAAGTTAAGCATGGACAAAAAGGATAAAGAAAGCGAAAGGTAAGTTAATGTTAGCTTTGGGGTTGTAATGAACACTACTTCCTTATCTCAATTCACAGACCCAATTTGAGTGAATAACGTCGTACAAGCCACAAAATGAGGTGAATGTAAAACTATCCTATCAATGTTGCATAAAATGCTTTCTTCGAAAAAGAATATTTTGTGAATGTGATTGGACGCCGTTGTCAATTTGTCATGTAATGTATTTGAATGGATGGTGTTTGTTTGTATGCTTTTTCAAGTAATTTTTATTTTACTTTATGGAAGAATGGATGTGATTTTTTTTTTTTTTATAAAAATAAAAAATATTACAAAGATGATAATAATAAGGATTGAACTTAAGTTTCTATATTTTTAACTATTTCAATCACATCCTACCTAATCATTATACTAACCACTAAACTAATCTTAATAGTTATAGAATGAATGTGATTTAAGCCAAAATTTTATTTTCTTTGTTTTGTATATTAAAAATTCATCGTATACCACGTCATCTTGATGATTCTATATTTCTATCTATAGTCAATTTTTTTTCTTCGTGTTTTATGGAATAACAATATTCAATGTAAAATTTTACATTAAGCCAATGTTACAAAACGAGAACAAATGCTAAATTGATTTTAGCATTGGCTTTGTGCTAGTTAAACTTTTGACATTACAAAGTTTGAAGTTAAAAATTGTGTTTCAATTATAGTTATAAAGTTAAATGAGTTGAATTTAATTTTTTAAATTTAAGTTTATTTAAAAATTTTAATTTAAATTGATTCATATTTGGATATTTTTATCTTAAAAGTAGGATCGATCTAAAAACAAACTTAACAAAATTTCTGTTTTAAGTCTGAATAAAAAAATATATTTTATATTAATATTTATATAATTTTTTAAGGTTTCATAACTTAAAAGTAACTTTTTTTTATATATTTTTAAGAATTCACTTTCAAAAGTTTAATTCTAAAAAGTATATAAATATAATTATTTTTTCAAGATCTATATATTTTTATTTTTTATCAAAAGATATTAAATCTATTTGTTTAAACATAAAATAAGTATTTCTAAATAAATATTTTTTTTTAAATAATTCTTTAAGAAACAAATAGGAGCTAGTTCTTGAAAAAAGCATAAATTTGTTTTTTTTTTTAAAATAAGTTTAGACAAACACATAAAAAATGTTTATTTTATTAAGAAGAAGCACTTTCAGAGGAAAAAGGTTTAAAGAAACAGATTTATCATTATTAATTTTAAGAAAATTTTACTTTAAAATTTGTTTTAAGCCTCATATTATGTTAGATCAACCTACTTAAAAATACCTTTATTAAAATAGAAACCTATATGATAGTAATTAAAAATACTTTCAAATGTGTAATTACTAAAATGGGTAGGAATTTAATGATATAATATAAATTTTGTTTATTTTTATTATATTTTAGGTATATTTGAATTGATAATAGTATTAATGTTTTTTTTACACCAGATAATATTATTATTGTTATTATTTTATATTTTAATATTAATATTATCAGTCAAGCTTATTTTTAATAATTTTTTATTATTAAAAAATCAAATGTACATAAATAAAAGACTGAATAAAATAATATATAATATATAAAGGACAAATACAATAATTAACATATATTCCAAAAAAAAAGTACAAGATAATTTAAAAAATAAAAATAAAGCACTAATATAGAAGAAAACCATGAAAGGAGAATAAATTAATTTATTATCTTTGGTTCTTTACGTTGAACAGAAAAGCGTGAGGAGTGTTGCTTTGGAAGCAACCTGAGTTTAGCCAAAATGATTAAATGAGATTGAACTCAGATACGGCATTCAATTATACGTATGTTTAGTTGACCATATGTCAAACCAAACACACCCTAAGTGTCTGTGTTCAATTTTTTTTTAACATTAAGTAGCATGATGTTAAAAGGTTAGACGCTACATTAAAACATTGACAAAAACAAAATATTAGCGACACTACATTATAAAAATCACACCATAGATACTAAATTGACAAAATTAATGATGATTTTGAGGCTAACAAAATTTACATTGGTTTGTGATTGATGCTAATTGTGTTAGCTTATAAGTCGATGTTATGTACAAAATCACCCATCTAACTTTAAACTTTTGTATAATTTGAATTTGAATTCCTAAATGATTCCTAACTTGTCACTTTTAGTCATTGTCATGATGTTTCTATATATTTTTATTATCATTAACTCAAATAAAAGTAATAGATTGTTTGACTTTCACATTGTTAAAATTAATTTTAAGACAAGAGATTTTCGTACATGAATTTAACGCTAATTTCATTAACTTATTACTTGTTTGAATTAATCACCAAGTCAAATAATTGACTTTGATACCAATTATTGAGAATATGAGGAGGTTAAACATTGAAAATATTTGTATTAATGAGTCATTAGCAAATTCTACAAATGAATTCAACACCATATCTTAACTTAAAATCTTGAGATACTAAATTTATAAGTTTTTCTTACTCTTATATGATTTAGCATGGCCAACTCTATCCCATAAGAGATTCTCATTCATACTTGTAGATTAACAAAACCATTTGAAGATATTTGTGTTTATTGATTCATAATAATTAGAATTTGCACACAAATTGCTTAGTTTATTATCTTCTTCAACAATTATGACATTTACTCGCACATTTTTTACTTTCAAAAGTTACTGTTTCATAATGGTGAATGTAGACAAAAATTCAAAGAAACAAGATGGAGGATTTGAGTTTGTGGGTGGTTTGAGTGGTGGAATCTACAAGATTCGACAATGGACATGACGTTGATGAAGAGGTAAGAAACCTTGAAGCACAAAAAGAAAAAACCTCAAACATAGTGAAGGGAGGTGGGTGAAGATGACAATAAGGGACAACTTGAGGCTCACTAAATTAAGCACCAATATACCTTTGCTTAATTAGAAATCCCCTAAAGAGCTGCTTAAATTGAAAAGTATCTTACATTGGTCATTCATTCCAACACTTTCTCCTTCCTAATTAGCACGATAAGAGAAAAAAGAAACATCGCTAGTTTTTTTTCCAGCTCATCCCACTCCCTAAAAAGAAGTGTCTACTGATTTTTTTTTTGTAATAGGTGTAGAGGTGAACAGAAGACTATTTGTCATCTTCTTCGTGACTGTGCTTATTCAATTTGTGTTTGGCAACACTTGAAGTAGGACAAACATTTAGAGCTTTATACAAAAAAATGTTTATGATTGACTGGTCAACAATCTCAAAGAACCAAATGTTATTCTTTTTGCAACAACCATTTGGATCTTGTGAAAAGTTAGGAATACATCTATATTTTGAGATCAATCTTGGGACATTTGGCGATTGTTAGTCAAATCCAAACTCTTTTGGTGGATATCAAGAAAGTGTTTTACCATAAAGGTTGTCAACAACAAAGTTGTCAAGTCAAATGGGAAGCACCTACATCTCTTGCAATCAAAATCAAAATTGATGATAGCTCATTTGGTAATTCAGGAAGAGCTACCAACTATCTCTCCTGAAATAGACCGGATAAGAGTGCTTAGAGGGGTGATAGACCTGCTGTTGCTGGGAGGGTGTTCACCTTGACTGGGGCTGAAGCTTCTACTTCTTCTGATCTTGTGAAGGGGGAGGGTAAAGCTAC